AATACTTACTCGTATTCAACACAGTTGAATTATAATGGTCATCTTTCACGAATTGATTGAAATCAGAAATGGAAACATTTGGTTGCCGACCACGGTCTAAAGGTTAAGCACGCACTCTAAAACTTGAAGGTCTTAGGTTTCATCACTCGTGATGTCGTGAATGCATACTACTATGTTCTTCACAAGGACGGAACAGCTATCCGTTATTTCTTTGTTTTTAGTGGTCTTCCGCAGTTTAAGCCATTGAAAACAAAATTGTTTACCTTTATCTTGTTATCTTAATTGGTCAGCTTTTCATTTAGTGTCTAATGTCTTGAACCGATGACTACTTGTACCGGGTTCTATTTTGCTTATGTCTGATTGATTTATTCCACAAAAAATATAGAACAAAATATTTCTTGGTTATTAATGCTAGTGAGCTATGTTGTTTGTGTACATTGCTTTTCCAAGTTTCCTTTTCGTATATCTCTGTATAATTAATTTTAATATTTTACTTGTTAAGGCTGTTGCTCATCGTGCAAGTCTGCTTGAATCAGCATCATCTCAACAACAACGTTTATTGGAATTAGACTCTCGTCTTACTGTCGCACAAACTGAAGTTGATTCTCATAAAACAAGTATTAATGAAATGCGTAGTAAACGTGATGCTTATGAGCGTGATATTCGAGATATGACTGAACAAGTGGAAGCTGCAAAAGCTGAACTTACTCATTGGCAGAGAGAAAAAGAACAATTAAGCTTACGAATGGCTGCTGGAGTAGATATGAATCCTGTTATGGAACAGTATAAGACATTGCAGTCAATGCGTGAAGTAAGTCTGGTTGCTAATTTGTTTAATTCTATATTATAAACTTTATAATTGTTGTACTACTTAGTGGTTAAATAAGTTGAAATAAATCTGAAGAAGACATTGTATATGTCTGTTCTAATTGATTAAAATGTACCAATCTAAATTGATTATAAGTGAAATAATCAGTTCATGTGTTTGGAAAATGGTTTGTATTATGTGAAGATAATCTAAACCTTAATCAATAGTTTGATTGCTAACTTTTGCTAAAAAATACTATGATGTTTGATATCCGCATGTGTTATGGTACAATATTCTTAATTATCCGATACTGACCATCCACTTCATTCATACCTTTCTAGTAGAACAAGACGTCAATACATTAGAATCCATGCACGCAAACAAAGGTATAAGAGCTCTACAATACCTTATCTAGCAAATATACTTTATGACGAACAGGTTATTAGAAGTGATCTAGTCAATAACTTGTATTCTTAAACATGTTTCTAATTAAAATAGTTGTACAGATTTCAATCTTCTTTTTATTTAAAACACTTCATTTAGTCCCAGGTAGTTTATCTACTTAATTCATGTATATGTGTATGCAGTCACCAGTTCTTTTCCTTTCTTTCTTCCTTTTTTGTGGAAGAAATTTGTTGAAATACTTTGTGCTGAGAATTCCATATTGTACCAAAAAATATCATATTGAATAAAGCCAATAATAATAGATAATTTCCCAGGTTTCATAAACAAATTAATGATTTATAAATTTTATCTTAAAGAAAAATATCAATTTTGTATGAATTCAGATTCTCTTTTAATTGCTTACTTTTCAAACTGTTAAAATTAATGGTCGCTTTCCATGACACGTATTTCATTTGAACTTTGAACTAAGATAGTCTATAAATAGGTTAGTCAGTCAGTCAGTCAGCTGCAACGTAGGACTAGGCACGTATATGCATCGGTCCAAGTTGCCATACCGCATTAGCACAACAAGATGAACACCGGATTCATAGAAGTAGTTAATTCAGTGGTGGTAATATATAGAAGAAAGAGTGTGTATAAGGAGATAGTACAGGAAAAAAGAATTAGTTCCTAGAAAGAAAGATTTGAAGTGATTTTAATCTCTTAGTTTAAAGGAAGACAGAGAGTGTATACACCGACGCCATTGTGATCGATTCTGAGCCATGTCACCAAGAGTCTCCAACCATTGGTTACGATAGTCACGCGGACCCCAACCAGGTAGTCTGCATCTACCAACATGGCTCAGACCAGAAGTTAGTGACTTCAAGCACTGATGCCACGTTTTGGTTTGGCCGCCCTTAACTTTCTTCCAATTATCCCCTACACTAGTCAGCATTGCGCGTCGTGGTAATCGGTGTTCACGCATACGCAGAACGTGGCCCAATCATCTCAGTCGATGAAGATTCATAACCTCATCAACTGATTTACCATCATTCCTAATACCCTGCGTCTAACCTCACTATTACTTACCCGGTGATCCTAGCAGATGCGAGCAATATTTCTAAGGCACCTGTGGTCAAATACTAGTAACTTACGAATATCTTCTACTCTCAAAGGCCATGTTTCGCAGCCGTATAGTAGAACGGAACGAACTGCCGCGCAGTATACTCGTCCCTTAATTGATAGACGGATCATTTCGCCTGCGCCATAGATGACGTAAGTTGGCAAAGGCTAAACGAGCTTTTCGAATCCTTGCTGAGATTTCGTCAGACACCAACCCATTAGGGCTGATCAGACTTCCAAGATAAGTGAAGTTGTCGACGCGTTCGACTACTTCACCTCCTATCCTTAGTTCAGGTGTTGACGCAGACCAGTCCTGAAGCAACAACTTGCATTTAGAGGGAGAGAAGCGCATCCCAAACATTCTGGCATTGTTGCTCAGTGCTACCAAAAGACTCTGCATTTCATCAGCGTCTTCACCAAACAGGACTATGTCATCTGCGTATCTAAGTCAATAAGTGGACCTCCTGGTAGGAGATCAATACCTGAGAATTCAGTCGATGAGAGCGTTATTTCCATTAGGAGGTCTATGATGAGGTTAAAGAAAAATGGAGAAAGTGGACAGCCTTGACGGACCCCACTTGAGGTTGCGAAAGCGGATGACAGTTCGCCATAGGCTCTGACTCGACTAGTAGTGTTCGAGTAAAGAGCTTTCACAAGGTTTATGTACTTCTGAGGTACGCCTTTCAATGATAGACACTGCCACAGAATCTCGCGGTCCATGGAGTCAAATGCTGCCTTTAAGTCAAGGAAGACCACTATTGTCGGACGCCGATAAGTATGCCTGTGTTCTAGAACCTGACGAATGGTGAATATGTGGTCGATGCATCCACGACCAGGTCTGAAGCCAGCCTGATTTTCACGTGTGTGCAGCTCACGAGTCCTAGTTAGGCGTCCGAAAATTATCGAAGCTAGTATTTTAGATATTATATTAGTTAAACTAATCCCTCTGTGGTTGTCATAGGATGATTTTGACCCTTTCTTAAATATTGGGACGATAAGTGATTGTGACCAGTTAGATGGGATAACGTCTAACTCCCAGATTTTAGCTAAAATATTAGTCAACCTAGTCGCTAAAACTAGACTACCATCTTTAAAGACCTCTGGGGCCAATCCATCTGGACCAGCTGCCATTCCTCCTTTCAGATTAGCTATAGCCTTTTGAACTCCAGCTAGAGTTGGAGGACCTACTTCAATGTTCCATTCATACTGTCTGGGAATAGAGGGTAGTTGTAGAGTAGCTGAAGGCCAACTGAACTGCTCCTTAAAATGTTCCGCCCATCGTTCTAAACGTCTGGACTGGGAGAAGATGAGAGTGTCGTTTTTTTGCGAAATAGTCTGACTTGCACTTGATTTATTAATTCCAGTTTCTTTTATTAGTCTGTAGAGTTGTCTTGTGTTCCCCATAGCCGCCGCCTTTTCCATCTCTTTTGCTTTCGTTGCTCACCACTGCTCACGATCATTCTTTAGACTTTTGCTCAATCTAGATCTGATTTCTTTACGCTCTTCATCGTGTTCAGAACCTGATGGGATGAGTTTGCGAGAATCTATCAGTGCAATAGACCTTGGAGAAATCCATTGGTTCTTTGTAACCCTGTGGTTTAAATCACTAGTAGATGTCACTGCTGTTTCCACAGCTGCTTGTATAACTTTCCAATCAACATCGGGGTCAGCCTCGTTTTCAGAACCACCTAAGTGTGACCTCAGTTGTTCCTGGAACCTACTTTTGGTTTTCTCATTACTCAATTCGGTTCTAATGAGTCTTTTTTGTGTGGCTCTTTTGCGTCCAGTGAGGCGCAAGCAGATGCGTGCTCGTACTAGGGCATGGTCGGAGTCCAAGCAGGTACTCCAGAATGAGCGACAGTCTTCTATGGACCCTCTCCAACGATGACTGATGGCAATATTGTCTATTTGAGTCCCTCGTTGGTTTGGTGCAGGGGGTCGCCATGTTAGACGATGTCTCTCCTTATGCTTCAAATTTGTGTTTGCTAAAAATAAACGATTGTCTGAGCACAGTTGCAGCAGACGATCACCATTATCTGTTCTCTGTGCCGGAATACTAAAATACCCACCTAAATGTCTTTCTGTTTCGTTTAAGCTACCTACCTGGGCATTAAAGTCGCCTGCTACGAGTACTATGTCTGAACGTTTAGCTTTCTGAAGAAGTTCAGAGAGTTTTCTGTAAAATTCATCTTTCACTTCATCCGAACTGCAGTCAGTGGGAGCGTAGGCAGAAACGACGAAAAGGCAACGACGTGTGTCCCTATCCTTTCGAGTTCTTACGGAGCCGTTTAGCCGAACAGCGCATAGACGACTGTTAACGGGGATCCACTCTAATAGCACTTGTTCCGCCCTCATGCTTAGTGCTATGCCTACACCTGCAAGTTCACGAGAACTAGCCATCGGGTCGCCAGATACACGGAGGGTGTATCTCGTCGGCACTCCGTTTTGCCGAGGTGAGGTCAAGTGAATGACCACACTAGGATCCTGTATGCGTGTTTCGGAGACACAGCATACATCAATGGTACGAGATTCTAAGGTTTTAGCCAAGGAAGCTTGCTGACCGATTTGACATAATGTGCGTACGTTGAAGGCTCCAATGTGTAGTTTGGTGCGAGGTTTCAGTAGACCTGAGACAGTGTTTTGCGCACTAGAATCGTTGGCTGTGGTGACACTTGATGAGGAAGTTTAGATTTGAAAGTCGATGTAAGAGGAATAATAGGAATTGAAGAGGTAGGTTGATTATGAATACAGTGGTCTTGAGTACTGTTAGAGGTATGAGGGCGGTTATCACTTCCCGGTTGCCCACACCGTGGAAGGGTTCTTCTGGAGGTACCTGAAAAGGAAATTGGATTAGAGGTGGTCATAGTGACCTGAGAGCGTGACCGCAGTGCCCAACGGACAGCTGCTTGAGGTCGGTCGCACACGACCTTTTTATGAGTAATTTTTGTGTTAGCTCCGTACTTGTTGAGACCTTACCGCCGGAGACGGATATCCGTGGGATAAGGCGAGGTGTGCATTTTTAGGGTCGATCTTTTCTAATCCCATCCCTACTTGTTGGAAAGGCAGCATCGCTGTTATGCTGGTTGTCTGAAGGAAACACCTTACTGCTGTCACACCTCTGTACAGTCAGCAGTACGACTTCGCCTTCGGACCTTGGTTTTGTTGCTTTTAGTCTTACCGCTCTTCAACCGACCTGTCTGGCATAGTAGGACCTTGAGGAACGGTTGTTCCAGCCAGTATAGCTCAGTTGCTTCATCACGATAGGCAAGCCCGACCACCACGTCAAGGTAGCAACAACGGTCAGGCTATAAATAGGTTGGTTTAGTAGTACTCTTACTTAATGAATAAACTACTTCCCTTTCACATTAACCTTTAAACTTCAAATGGACGAAGATTTTATGCATATATTTTTTTGTTTATTGTTATTCTCACTAACTATAACCATCTCTATTAGACAAAATTGTAGACCACTATTATAGCTTAATGATGAAACACCTAATTTTTTGACACTGGATTATAGTTTTGAATTCTGTCCTGCCTATGTTGCTTCAAATAGCCATTGCATAAATGGTATGGCCCCAAACCCAACACATGATTTTGAGTTACATTAATCTAATGGTGATGCTTAAATTTTTCAGAAAATCTATTTACCTCGTTTTTATTTCAAGGTTTAAGCATGAGATTATCATCATTGTTAATTGATTTGTACTTGAATTCATTTTCAAATGTTTTTATTAGATAGGTTGTTATAAGTTTACTTATTGCATTCTGGATATCTCGGTAATTAAAATGTTTTCGTTAACACGTTATCACATGTATATCAGATTAGATATTAATAATAGAAAATAATTTACATTATTAAATAACACTATAGCGTTAATCAAGCTGTCTATTTGTATTTTCTCCTCGTTCACTCGACATATTACTTTCATTGGCCACTAATCATTAGATCAAAGCGGAATTTAAACTCTTTAATTGCTTTGTCATTTTACGTTTCACCTTACTATAATCTTATACACTGAAGATTTTCGTGAATTCAGTTCGTCTGTTGGATAGTGATGCTGACTAGTGTTGGGGACGGCTGGAAGAAAGTTAGGGGCGCCCTAACCAAAACGTGGCATCCATCTTTGAAGTCACTAACTTCCAGTCTTAGTCATGTTGGTAGATACAGACTACTTGGTTGGGGTCCGCATGACTATCGTAACCAATGGTTGGAGACTTTGGGTGACATGGTTCAGAATTGATCACAATGGCGTCGGTGTATACACTCCCTGTTTTCTCTTAAACTGAGATTGAAATTGCTTCATGTTTTTCTACCAACTAATTCTTTCTTCCTGTACTACATCCTTATATGAAATATTTCTTTCATATATTACTACCATTGAAGTAACTACTTCTATGAATTCGGTGTCGTGCTAATGCGGTATGGCAACTTGAACCGATGCATTTATGTGCCTGGTCCTACGTTGTAGCTGACCACCACCTATACATCCAGTGTTTTTAGCCACGCTAATGGTCGATGGTAGCTCTGCTTTTGCATTATCCTTATAGTTTTTACGATCTCCAGTAATCACTTGAATTGATCTATTTTTTGTAATCCCTACAAAAAATTCTCAAAATTTCATAAATTCCTCATGTTTTTGAAAAATTTAGTCAAAGGGCTTAATAAGTCATTTTGCGTATTCATTGGACGACCAATTTGATTTTGTTTAACAATCCAGTGTAGTTTTACCGATGAGGATATAATCCATAAATTTTGTTCAGATGACAAAGTACGTACTACGCGACTACTGTTTAGACCAGAAACTGATTATAAAAAACTGACCTTCGAAGTTGTTAGTTTATTGCAAATATCTAGTTTTTTCTTCACTATAATGAATTACATTTAATATGATAAACACTCATGGTTTTCCTTAATTAGACAGTACATTTACTTTTCTACGTACCTGTTGCTTTTCCACCACTGCTTCGTTTTTCATCTTGTCAGTGAATTATACTGCAGAATATATGTCATATAAAGTTTTATTCATATGCTAGGTTTTTAATAGCTAAAGAACTACCTAACAGCTTAGATTATAGTGCGTGAATCCGCGATGAATCTACCATCTAATTTCTAACAACTGTCTACATAGATTACTGAATTCTATAGCTCCATGCACATAATTAGGGGAATCATTACTCGTTTAATATCTTTTTGAAACAAATGATTTTAACCTACCCTCAGACTTGACGGTTTCACTATTAGTCACTAGTTTACTAAGTTAAGTACTAAAGTCGGCTTTATTTTCAACCTATGGAAGTGTATAATCTTAATAGACTTCTAGTGAATAATCTGTTTTACAATGTTGTTTATCTTGTTATTAATTATAATGAAACTGTACATCTATTGGATTAAAATATTATAAACCAGTAACAGTGTCAGCGATGTTAACTAAGTTTTATAGACGAAATACATCCTAGTGATACGTGTGTGTTTCGCGGTATGTTTGTATACAACGTATAGATGTTTAATTTCAATTAGAGATTAATTCATGATCGAATCTCTATACCATGTAAGTCACACGTTAATTACTTAAATAACCAATCGGCTAACTTAAATATTAGTGAAATGTTCATGGACTTGTTCCTGGATTCACTGACACAATTGTTGCATATAAATATTATTAAAATGAATGATTTCGTAGAACAACATTCAGTATGATTATATTAGATCCAACTATTTTTCATATGTATGTGTATATGTTCGTCGTTACAAACTGTAATTAGTCCATTAGTTTTAATCAATAAATTGTATATCTTGGTTTCTAAATTACAATACTGTTTATTTCATAGTATGATAATTTACCATTCTTTAACATTCGTAATCAGGCACGTATTAAAACGATTGAACAGTTAAGAAATAAGTTAAATGAATTAGATCAAAATATGACCCAGCAAGGTCATGAACTGGCTACTAGACGTAATAAAATCGACGATTCACAAGATCGCGTCACACGGACAATGCTTGATTTAGTTGATCTGCGACATTCTGTTGAACAGAAAATGCAAGCATATAAATTGCAAAAAAAATCTACTGATTTATCCATGTAAGTTCTGATTTTCTTTTCGTTGTTTTTGTTGTTGAGCACCAATGTTTAGTCAGATACATAAGCCTTTTAACCATTTATCGATTTGTGTGAAATAACCGTATGCATTATATTTAATGTGTTCAAAAGTATAGTTAGAGAGCTGATATCGTCCAATCACTATTTATGAATAAACGGATATTTTTATATGATGAACCCGGTGATGAAATTTTATCAACAATAATTAATGTTAATAAACTAATGCGCAACACTAACTGTAAGAGAGGGTTAAAATGAGTACCAATCAACGGAAGCCTGAGTACAGACTAATGTATAGCGTTGAATAACGTTACATTTTGTCTACAGGTTTCTCTTGGTAACACTGACTTATGATCCGGAGATACGTGAGTTAACTGAAGTTAAATATGGGACCCAATGGATGGTATTGAATCCAATCCCCAGAGAGCGATGTGAATGTACACTCAAGGAGTTCCATACTAATATGAAATAGTTTTCCAATGCTCCAGAGTTTTCTGTTGTTGTCTAGCTAAAGTCAGTGTTCAAGATAAAATCACAGAGGCTTTGCAAACATAATTATCACTAGTTGTTTTACTTACACTCTTCACCTTTTTAGTGTTTCTTGGCTAAAATTAAAATCGCACTTTTTTCCATCAAAATGACAAATTTCAGGATGGAAATCATCCTTTATATAACTTCACGGTAATTAGGTAATATAAAAGTAACTAGACATTTCTAGCTTCATAATATCTTTGAGATATTTCTGAATTATGTACTTAAGATATGCCTCGAGTTATGAATATTAATTTCCCGGGAAGCATATTAATTGGTTAGTGGTTTACGTATCTTACCCTTCTGGTAAGTTAAATAACAATATTAATGTTAAAAGAATATTTAGTTTTCAGTTTCCAACTATTTTACAAACATGTCTGGTAAATTTCCTGTTTTTTGCTTGCAGGAATTAGTGTTTGCTAAACTGTTGAATTAGATTGGTGGTAGCATTCATTATAGAAATAAAAAATTGAATCATTCATTCACCAGAGCTTATATGCCTTTAAAACCAATTGCAGATATTTATTTAAGTCCTTATGTTGTTTTGATTTTTATTTGTAAATATATTGTTAACTTCAACATAGATTGTAAAGGCTAACAAACGTTATTCATATTGAATGTGATCTCTGAACTTTTCATCACTTAACCTCTTAGTTAATGTTGAGGGGGTAGCGTTAAAGTTTCAGCCACACTAAGTTGCAGCTTCAAATCTTACCTTACCTACTTCTATTTGGGTAACCGTGTAGTATCATTAACGCTCACAATGTGGTTCATACCAATGTACCTAGTAAATTAATTGATTGTTTTTTATTCAGCTTCATTTACGACATTAATTATTGTGTAAGAAAATGCTCACTGATATGAATATATACATTCTTTCGTATTCAATAAAATAATTCCATACATCATCCATATTTTTCATTCCTCTTTTTCTTCGGAAGATCCACTTCAACTACCATTGGAAGTACACAAAAAGAGTTATATGAAGCAATGTTTGACTTTACTGCTAGACATCCGGATGAATTATCATTTACAACTGGGACGTTAATTGATGTAAGCTATCTTATTGCTAAATTTTATAATAATAAATCATTAATTTATTATCAAGATTTACAAATGTAGTGTTTTTAAAAGAAATTACACTGTTTAAACTATTGCAGATATAAGTTTTTGGAGCTATTGGCAGTAAAATAAGACTACTCGTAGTTGTTTTTAATAAATATTGGGAGGTGATTTATATCGTGTATAAGGCCAATCAATTCTACCTTACCTCTTATCTGTTTCGTATATTTGTTTCAATTATCATTAGTTTTTTTCAAAAATCATTTACATATCGTGAGATTATAGACAATAAGTAATAATATAACTTGTCCACCATTGCTCGTTTAGAAAGAATTAGTCGGTCAGATAAATTAAGGTATTCAGGATAATATTGATAACTTTGTTAAGAACATTCCATGAACAACGCGCCTAAAACTACTGATATAAACTTTGTTCTTTCAATATCGTAAATGTCACTAATTTCTTGTCGAGTACCAATAAAATTTCATTGATGATATTCATTAAAAATAGTAGATTCATCAAGTATTATTTTGTTTTATATATGATTCCAGTAATACTCTTTGTATTATATTTCACAAGTTTGTAACATTATTTATTATTAGTTCAAATACTCGAATTTCAACGATGAGAATCAATTTTCAAACTCGACCTTATCTGCTCCATGTTTTAAGAAAATTTATTATTATTATTATTGTTATTATTATTATTGTTATTATTATTATTGTTATTATTGTTATTATTATTATTATTATTATTATTATTATTATTATTATTATTATTATTATCTTTACACATAATGTCATTCAAAGTTGACTACATAAGAATGTACTATGTTGTATTTCTAATGAAAAAAACGTCGAATTATTCACTTAATATATGCACATATTTATTTACTTAACGTAATAATAAAATAAAGTTAATCAGGAATCATGTTATGCAATACATTTCAAAAACGCGAATTACAAGTTAATGATTGTATGCATTATATCCCAATTTATACATCTGTGTTAAAAACATAAGATATAATTAAAATTTATTAAACATATAGCTGAAATAGTTGTGAAAATAAACAAACTTAGATTATCTCAAATTTGAGTAGACTGTTTACTGCGTTCTATTGATTTATATAAATGAAATTTTAATTAAATGGATATATACTTTTTATTCATTTAACTAGTGTATGTTGTTAAGCAAATAGTTAGATTAGATAAAAATTGAAATGGTACATAAATAAATGGTATTTCATATTACATAATAAACTTTGTTTTTTTTCTCAATTAGGTCTTTGTAAGTGCCCCGATTAATGTTGGCCCAGGTTGGTTATATGGTCAAATTAATGACAAAGTTGGCTTATTTCCTGAAACGTACGTACGAAAAAAAGTCGATGGGAAAATTGATCCATTTGATCCTTTTGGTGTTCATAAAATAACGAACACACCTGTATCATCGGGAATGACAACAACAACAACAACGATATCTACTACAAATAATACACCAAATACAATTAGTGTAATAAATACTATTAGCAGGTAAAATTTGACTACATTAGTGCATTTTTTTATTTAGAAAAAACCATCTGGTTTCAACTATATGTTTGTATTAGCAAAGGCTGTTGTGCAGTATTCTTAATTTGTTATGACTGGTTAAAAACTCAAACAAACAAATGCGTATAATTATTTGTTAAATATGTTCTTTAATATATATTGTAGTTACTAATGGTTCAACTTACTTTCTTAGATATTCTCTTCTTGAAAATTTAACTCTCAAGCATTAGAAACTTTATTAGATTTATGAATAAATATCGGTATGTTGATTATTTAATAAATGCCTACAAGAAACTGGGAATTTGTATTTTATGCTTTCAATTATTCATCGGTAGAATCATTGAACTTTTTAGTCAACTTAAATCTCTAACCTTTTTCATTGAAGTACACTTTAAAAATGAATTCTTAGTCTCTGATTTCTATACAATGATATTTGTAAAAAATAATAATAAATAAATAACAATCACAGTCATTCAGTGTATTTCCATTTTCCGGAATACAGTATTTACTCTCATGTATTTTGTAATCTTTCAGCAAGAAAATACCAAGATATAGAAGTAGTTTATAGAAGTATTGTGTATCATTTGCTTATCTTTAGACAGTTTTTGCAAAATTTCTACATAGGAATAACACAGTGTTTACCATGTCATAATGATACTTTACGAAATGAATATTTCAGCAGTTCCAACTAATGGCTTAATATTCAATCCTGCTCCGCGTCAATTCCATTTAATAGTGTATAGATGATCTAATTAGTCTACTCATTATTAGTATATTAAACTACTTGCTACTGAACTTACACCAAACAGTACATTTTTGTTGTGCTATGTATTATCGATACGTTAACTGAATAGAAATTTTTTGGGAGAGAACATGATTTTCAATCAGTTTTTGTTTTTCGCCGAATTAACTCTTACTATTACTAAACGTTATTGATTTTCTTGACAGTAAGGTAGATTAGTCAAGTCTGAAGGTCTGGCTCTTTGGGAATTAAGGCATTCGACATTCATCATCATTAAGTCTCAGGTTTGAACCTTGTCCCACCTAATTCGGATCAGGCAACTCAATGCTATTATTCACCCTAATAATTTGATTATCACTCAAAACTAATTAACAATAATTGTTACCTAGTATATATAATATAATGAAATCTTTAATAGATCATATGTTATTTTAGATGATAATGTTCCATGTAAATAAAAACTGTTTCACTCAGAAAATTTTTAAGAATAAATTTTGTTTTTCATTTTGTGTTAATATATATTTAAAAGAAAAATTCGGAAATCGGTATAATAAGCAAGTTGTTTGTACTGCCGGATGTATAGTTAAACAATTTATGCCCAACCAAATGTTCATCACATTGATCACTGACCAAACAATTGATAGTCTAGTATTGTGATTAAATTTAATTAAACCCCATAGAAAATAAAATGTGTGTAGTAATATATTTAATGAAACAAGACTTTATATTTCGTAAGCATCATTTTGGCAGACGATGTGGAAATTTATTGTAAATGATTCGAATTATTATTATTATCATTATTATTATTCAACACTTTAAGCACATATGATGATATTACTCATTTTAATCTTGATCTTTCTAATACTAATAATATTAAACCTATAATTTTTAACAGTTTGACTGAACCGGCGAATGATAATCTAGTGGCAAGTGAAACAACACCAACAACAAAACTCAATGATACTACATTTTCTAACAATGATTTTTATGGTGAAGTACAGCAAAACTGGAATGTTTCAATGTCTACAATAACTTTACCTGAAAATATACCAACAGATCAATTTTTAACATTGACGGTTGACGATCGGGTCAAAATTATCAAAGAAAATGACAATAATAAAGAATGGTATTTTGGTGAAATTACTGATAAATCTGATATTGTGAAAAAAGGATGGTTTCCAAGTTGTTGTTTAAAACCATTTACTAAGTCCAATACGTCTAATATAAATGGGTCAGTAATTGATGGTTTATAAGTATTAAATAAATACATGAATTTACGCATAAATGTTTATCAGCATCATTAAGTTGCATATACCTTTATCAATGAAGCTAATTTACACTGCAAACTGGTTGTCACTGGACAACTATTCGAAACTGAGAAGCATCGATCTGCTTGTTGATTTTAGCACGAGACTTGATCATAGTGCGCTCATAGCCCTGTCAGGAATTTGATCTACATTCTTCAGGTTTAGCAACTCAGATTTCTAAACCACCGGATTGCCGTAAAATGGTCCACGTTTCCAACTCTCGTTCGTGTTTTAAACAATCAAAATTTATGTTCATCCCTTATTCGGTTTTGTTGGAGGGTGGTTTTAAAGGTATTGGTTTCTTGGCATTAGATTGACATTTATCGACAACTCATAGTGGGGGTCTTAACGCGAGTTCTAATTGTTTTCCTGATTCTTTGAAATTTTGTTATTAAAAAGGATGATCGTGCCGATTAGATCCCAATCTGTTTTACCTATGAATTTAACAATATACTTGTGATAGTGTGTCTCGCATATCTTTTGAAGGACTGTTGATCTTTAGTACATTTTGATGTAAATTACACATCTGACGTGTTAAATAACTTGCAGTTCATAGAGGTCGTCTAAATTAAATAGTTAAACAAAATAAAGTTGTCCAGTCTGCTATGGATTTTAATAGCTTCATAATAGATGTTGCTGTCTAGTGTTTCAGTCATAGGCAACATAGTGAACCTGGCACAAATTTATATTGGTCCAAGTAACCACATCTCATTAACACATCTAAATGAAATAAACAAAATAAATATCAAGGTTGCGAAGGTATTAATAATACTATCCTGTTGTAATAAAAGATCAAAAATAGCAAATATAAGGTTCGAGTACTAAAAGTATGTTTAGAATAAAAAAGTATGCAATATTGCTTAGTGAAAAAAATGTCAACAAATTATTCAATACTTCTGTTTTCATACTTATTTAAAACATTCAACTTATTAGATAACTTCATATAATAAATTTCTTTTTCCCTGATCGATTAATGTAGACTAAGTATCTCTTCATCATCAAATAGCTTATCAAAACAACCAGACATTCTATTTTCATGTATCGCATTATACCCGTACGAGTCGAATGTACCTGGCGATTTGAATCTTTCTGTTGGTGATTTGATTAGAGTTTGTGTTATAAAGGATGATTGGTGGGAAGGTATTTGTGAACGAACTAAACTCAAAGGTTTATTCCCAGCTAATTATGTTCGTAAACTAAGCAGTGAGGCAAGTGATGCGTACACCTATTTATTTTTTTAGTACAACTTTTTTGTTTATTTATATCGTTTATTCTCCTTTTTTTCTTCAAAATTGGGACAGTGATCCTTTTCCTGTGTTCACTTGTATCTTAATTCACCTTATTGTTTAATAACAATTGCTGCAAATATATCTAACTAACAAAGTCAGTTATAAATTGCCGATGCAAAATTTGGCAACGATATAAGTTGAGGTATATTACGTCATCAAAGCACAAGATGATCAGCATGATGAAGAAGTATAGGCTAGGTGATTATATATACAATTTTAAATAAAGCCATGGCATAATAATAGAAATTCATTTTATTTCGTGATTTCCCCTTAGCTCTTTATAACGGTATTCGTAGATTTCGTAACAATAATAAAGGTGATTTTAATTAAAACTATGAATTTACCCCAAAGCAATGATATTTTGATAATTGTCTCGATCTGAACACATAATTCTGGCTTTATTTTTTAAATTGCCACTTGTTCAGAGAGACGTGAAGAAACTGCATTATTTTGTCTCTTAATAATATTGAAGGATTAGCAAAAGTCGATAATATGACCGGTATCAATTAAGTACTGAAGTACCATATCTTCTTAGTCTAAAATTCTTTAGCATGGGCCTCATAAGTGAATGTTTGCTCTTCTTTCTGTTCTTTTTAAGTATTCACTTTGGCACGTAAATAATCATTGATAACTGCAATTGAGGGAGGTATTGAGAAAAGACAATCTTGTCTATTTTTGTCATAAAAATCAATCATTTTCACAATTTTTAAATTATACCAACAGAGTGTGAACGAATAGTAGTTCAGTTAACTTCTGAAACACAGCGCTCAACTTATTAAATTGTTTTAAGTAATATACACTTATTTTTTATCCAACTCACAATTCAAGATTTAGTAATCTTATAAACTAAGATTTGTGATTTATCTAGATTTAATATTTTAAATAATAATTTAAGTAGTCAGATTCTTAAGCAATATATCCATTAGTAGTTACTCTTCAGTTCAAAAACAAACAAAAATCAATATTTAGAACGCAATCATTATGTATTCTGTGGCGTGTGCTACTAATGTCGACAAATATAAATAGAATGTAACACCATTCTGAAGTGGAATGCCTGGCATCAAAATGTTGAGAAGATCAAATAGAAGAGATCGGTTACAGTTAGTGATTGCTATGGAAATGAAGGAACAACAAAGTGTGAAACAATCAATTGACATTCTGCAAATGAAGTATTGAACGTATGGCATCTACATTTTACCACATAACTCTGTAATTTTGTACTCATGTATACTTGATTGTCCCCAATTATGTTCTTGTTTACTCCTCTTTTTTCTCTATACAACTATTTATATTCTATCTCAATTAATTTGTAAATAATTTTCGCAATGTATTTTTCTTGTTCATTAAATAGGAAACACGGTCAATGGAAGAAAAATTAGATATAAGCGGATCAACTATTAATCAAATGGAACATAATGACACAATTGTAAGTTAACGATGCATTATATAAAATTTCTTTTCATTTTTATTTGTAAGCATAAACCACAATTACTGTGAGGAAGCACATTTTTTCTAGATGGATACTGTTATATCTAGAGCGTATATTTTTGCTATACCACTTACTACTTGAGCATTCGAATGTTAGGACCCTCAAAGTCGCAAGTTAGAAAACAGAAGACAAGTGAGAAGGAATTTTATTCCAAACTGTGTCAAATATCGTACAAAACTCTCAGGCATTTATAGTTTTTAGTTAAAACGAGATTATCAGTACAGTCGTCCAATCTGCATACAGTGGTTTTTAGCATTTACCTGATAGGGAAGCTACATGTTGAGATTCTGAAATGTCCTTCCAAAAGATGATCGGATGGAATGTCTCCGGTTCTTTTTGAGCGTCTTAGAACCTCTTTGAGTTCGCCTGGGGGCTGTCTTCACAGATACATTGTTGTATGCATGAATTCGAGGATAAAGATATCCATTTTTTTCTTATGAAAGTGTTCACAAGCTATTGTGATCTTTTTAATTATGTTGCGATTATGAGTCATTTTAATCAACTAGGTTTTTGACAACGTTATCGTTTAGATAAGATTACTAAGAATAAATAACTTCGTATGCTGCTACAAAACTTTTCTATCTATAATGAACTACTTGTTTGTTAAAGAGTGCAGCAACAATGTATCTTGACGAGTTGCATTTCAAGCCAGATTTTTATATAAGGTTTTTAGACTGTTTCTTTTGGAAAACAGAGAAACCTATTGTTTACTTATTAGTAAATTTTATTGACAACTATAAATTAATTACATTCGGTCTTTGTGAATCGCTACACAGTTTAGTCTTTTTGTGTTATACTTTTTAATGTACTTTATTGTTATATCTTATACTAGAATCCTCCATCTCTATCGAAAATAATCCCTATATCATCGCCGAAATTAATGGAAGCAAATTCTAATAATTGTATGGCTAATTTACTTTCTTCATCAAATACATCCTCAACTTCATCATCTGGTGTTATTGTATGCACTCAACCAGAGTTCGCTCGAGTAATTGCACCATACAAAGCTACTTCAGCTGGTCAACTAACTCTTCAGCCTGGTCAAGTTGTACAACTTCGTAAAAGATCACCTAAAGGTTGGTGGGAAGGAGAGTTACAGGTAATGAACAGACTGTCGAATCAATTTGTTACGTAGACGTTTCTTGTATTCTGCCATATATATTGCTATCTTTAATTGCTAAGAATTTATAATTTAGGATGTCAAGCTTTATTTCAAGCCATTTAACTGATAAAATAATATTCATCATGCGTCACATTTATCACAAACTTTTGAAAATCGAGCGAAAAGATAGTATCATTTTTGCCAATTTCACCGATTTATAATTCATCAAACTTGTATGGAAAGTAATTGGCATACTCTTATTGTTACATCAGAAATTAGTGCAATGACGTTTCGTATTCGTAAATGAGTCTCTAGGTAAACAGTCAATCTCTAAAATTGTCAGACAAAAGTTATCATCTGTAGAAGCATATTTATGTCAACCTGCTATAAAAAAAGTAAAATTATAAATCCAACATTTAGCTAATGCATAGCCTGGTACCATGGATTATTAGTTTCCCTTAAAAGGGTAACACATCTGAAGCAGTGAAAATACAAGTGATTGGTTTATTAAAATTTGTTAATTTTCACCTTTTGAGTAATAAATACACCAATTGTAAGCAGATAACATTTCATGTGTTACTTTCAATCATTAGGTTCTCTAATAATATTTTAAACTAGTATTATACATATCGAACCTTAGAAAATTCAATTCATGTTTCTCTGCATTACACTGATTGTATTCATGAACCTAGTTCCACAACTTAATGTTTGTCCTTTACCATAACTCGCTTCCATGATCAAAGTAAGCAAACTGCATGTGGTTGAACTACATCAACAATTGTCTGACATTCTCATTAAGCTTGTCTGCTACCAAACATAGTAACTTAGCTAGTCATCGTTTAATTAGTATAATGAATTTGATTTTCACTTCAAATAACTTGAATTTTTGTTTTGTTTATTGTTAAATTATTTTATATTCCCTTTGGATGTACTTCTACCCATAATCTTGTCTCCAACATTTTTTTTACCATCAACCTCTAACTAATAATCACTGACAAAAGCTATTTTATTTTAATTTAATTGCATATAAGTTTCTAAAAGTTGACTCCGCACTTTTCAGTGGTTGAAAGTAGTCCACATGAAACCCTGAACCTAGATTTCGTGCTGAACCAGAAAAATACATTTATCAATAACTTAACGACTTATCAATTATAGATTTCACAGTGACTATTGGTTAAATCTCTTTAGAGTATCTCTAACTTCGATAATACGATTATTTTCTACGATTTTATAAAATATATATTATAAAATATACAATAACCGTTCCGTAGATTGACTAAGCTCATCAAAGTTAGTAATTCTTCCATAAATCATTGCCTAGAAGACATAGTACATTGATTTGCTTGTAGCACAGTTACCTTCAAATACAATTAATCTGTGTCATAATACTTACTTGTCTGTGAATAAATGAAAGAAATTTTCCAAATAAATGTCATTTAAAATTCGTCTATTTACTGTAAATTTATAATTTTCATTTCCTCTATCGACACATAAGTATGGTTGGTGGTTAATTGGTTCTTGTAAGCTGACTAATCACCGTACATTATAGGAATAATATGAAAGAGTTTTGTTAATACAATCTGAAAATTGGGAATTTAAAATAAATATGTTACTGTGCGAATTAATAAATTTAAATTCGAGTGATATTTTATGTATTTTGAATTCTATTCGTCCTAGTGATTGTAAATAATTATGAACAGAATCGTTCTGGAATCTTATTGCCAAGTGCTTAGTGTTATTGCAGCTCCAGTTGATGTCATGAAAATTGCCAAAAAAGATAACGTCATCACACTAATAATAATAATACCAGTACTCAAATTAAAATCGAATAAATTTTAATGGATAAAACAACTAACCAAGTCAATTGACAAAATCAATGCATTTTAAGACATCAATGCTTTTAGTCATAACTGTTGATAGTAAATGGTTTTCACTGGTTTAAACGTAATAAACTCTTCCTGGGTTCTATCTATCTGTTTAGTTCGCGGGTGTAGACTTTTTTTACTAGGATAAAATGACTTATCCAATGCTATATGAGATTCAATAATTCTCTAACAACGGTGTCATTCCGTGACCCTTTATCTATGAAATTACCAGCCAAATGTGCATAAATACGAGTTACATGCAGTTAAGAAACGCGTAATCAAAAGTGAAATTAAAGACCACAGTGTAACTAGTGGAATTCACCCTCCATCTTTCGGTAACACTAAGGAATTCTAGTTTATAAATTGAAATCTATCCATTGTTTCATGATTTAGTTTAGAATTGTTCACACTAACTAGTTTTATGTATCCATCTTTTCTTAGCTAAAATATTGTTTAAATACTGTTCGATTCGTTTGTCAAAAAATGAGTAACGTCATCATAATGTATAAATAATAATCATATTTGACTGTTATCTACATTTTTCCAAAGGAAATTATTTTTGGTAGATCACAAATAAGTAATGATTTGAACAAGTAATGCTTTAATTCACCTTAAATTATTTTAAAATCTTCTGATCAGAAAGACATTCTGAACATTTAGTATAAATTCATACTATTGGTTTACAAGTTGTTATTATTTCTGTCCATGTTTTACACTGTATAGTAGTAATCTACTTGTAAGTGATATGAAGGAAAAATTATAAACCAACTTGTATGTGGTTATCGTATTGCTTCATTGAATTAGTTTAAACACATCATTAAGTTCTGTTTTAGTTAATAGACAATACTTTTCCATGCTTTTCCTTTATAAAATAAATCGGCTTAAAATCGAACTTGATATAATTTCATTACTGTGATGCTTTTAGTTTCAAATCATTCAATAGTATAACTTGTAAGTTACGTCGATTGTAAATTGTTGTAGAGTTCATGTCGACTGATAAGTTGTACTAAAATAATCTTCTGTTATTTGGAATTCAGTCCTGGTATGCAATTGTATATTCCATAGCCATATCCCTAAATGTTTCCGTTAATTTATTTATGTCAATTTAGACAAATAGGCTGATACTAAGTGTGAAAGAACAAATAGTAATTTCGATGCAATTCGCTCAGGATGGCCATGTTTTAATAGAGATTGATCGTTTGCAGTCCGTAACTTGAACGGTGAAAAAATGCAAACGCTTATAAACAATGAGCTGATAGTTTCTATCTTATCTTAGTGTTCAAATTTTCTCATTTTCACTCATTAAGTCTCATGCACAAGCCCTTCTCTACCTTCTCCGGAAACCGGATAGTATCCATTATCCTCACACTTAGAGTATGCTTCGCACTCAAATACCTGATGGATGAGTCTAATTATTTTGTTATTTCTACAGAGGATTGCGCTTCTCTGTAGATAACAAAAACATTTTCACTAGTCCATGTGATTAGTACTTAATCATCCTTTCTATTAATAACAGTATGCTTTTAACACAATATGAACAATTAAGCTAACTTTTTCATTTATTTACTATTCTCTTTTCTTTTTTTCTCTCCTTTCTATATGTTAAATATCTAAATCACCTTGTTTCGCATGTATGATTATTTGTTTTGTTGGCTTATTTCATAACTTATATTTCCATACTATGTTGCCTATTCTTTTCTTCAATCAACATGATTATTCGTGTTACGGATAATTGGCATCAAGGTGCTCTCTGGATCAAATTTAAACTTGATTGATAATGAAGATTAATTGCTTATTGATTAATTGACTGTTATCAAATTTATCATGAATTGTTATCTGCAATCTATTGGCTGCTTCTCTTGATAAATTCTGTCTTTTTTCATCCTTGTCATTTTATTTTTTTTGATTTCAGTTATTTCAATTATTTAGTCAAGTAACGATTTCCTTTCTGGTATTTATGAACTGAAACAAGTTGAAGATATGAGAAAATTGAGCATGTCGAGATAAATTTGTCTTATATGATTTCGTTTTACTCCGTCAATATGTGTGCGTGTTACTTTCTCAACACTTGATCTGAACCATTTTTTCTTAGATTGTATTTTTATGCAATCTTTCGGTTTTTCTTAAAATCACATTCTTATTTTGCATCATTCACAGAAAGCATAGAAACTGCTTGTACGGTGGTAACATGTTTTTTGATTAAAATTAATTGAATTGTTTAATCTTCGTTAGCTACACATATATGTCCAACTTAGTCTACATTTTTATTGTTGCATCATCACCATTATATAATCACTGGATGTGACTTATTGATTTCTATATTCATAAGTGCTCACATGTTATTACTTGCTTTGCTCATCTCATTTGGCTCAACTATCATCTGGTTTTACGTGACTCATAACAGTACACAAACGTGTACATAATCCCTGCGTTGGATTCGTATTTATTGATTGATTACTTTTGGATTTTCTTCCATGTCAAACACCGTTTGTTGTTAATAAATATTCCGTTCATGGTGATGTGGTTTAATAGTTCAAGTATTAGTCTTCCAACTGATTAGTTTGAAGTTTGAACTTCATTCAGTAAATCTGAGCTATGCTGCCGAGCCAATGGTGAACGTCTGAATATATTCCAAGTCCATTTTATTGTTTAGCCAGCATTAAAGAGATGTGAATTTAATAGTCGTTCACGTCAAGACAAATTTAAGTTAGGCGAACGCGATCATATACATAAAAATGTTCGAATGTTAGGGATTACGCTCATATATCAGTGTCGGAATGAGATGGAGCTAAATTTATGTCTAGAAACGTTAGGTACATCAATTGTTAGGGCGTACCTCAGAAGTACATAAACCTTGTGAAAGCTCTTTACTCGAACACTACTAGTCGAGTCAGAGCCTATGGCGAACTGTCATCCGCTTTTGCAACCTCAAGTGGGGTCCGTCAAGACTGTCCACTTTCTCCATTTTTGTTCAACTTCATCATAGATCTACTGATGGAAATAACGCTCTCATCGACTGAATTCTCAGGTGTTGATCTCCTACCAGGAGGTCCACTTATTGACTTAGAATACGCAGATGACATAGTCCTGTTTGGTGAAGACGCTGATGAAATGCAGAGTCTTTTGGTAGCACTGAGCAACAATGCCAGAATGTTTGGGATGCGCTTCTCTCCCTCTAAATGCAAGTTGTTGCTTCAGGACTGGTCTGCGTCAACACCTGAACTAAGGATAGGAGGTGAAGTAGTCGAACGCGTCGACAACTTCACTTATCTTGGAAGTCTGATCAGCCCTAATGGGTTGGTGTCTGACGAAATCTCAGCAAGGATTCGAAAAGCTCGTTTAGCCTTTGCCAACTTACGTCATCTATGGCGAAGGCGAGATATCCGTCTATCAATTAAGGGACGAGTATACTGCGCGGCAGTTCGTTCCGTTCTACTATACGGCTGCGAAACATGGCCTTTAAGAGTAGAAGATATTCGTAAGTTACTAGTATTTGACCACAGGTGCCTTAGAAATATTGCTCGCATCTGCTAGGATCACCGGGTAAGTAATAGTGAGGTTAGACGCAGGGTATTAGGAATGATGGTAAATCAGTTGATGAGGTTATGAATCTTCATCGACTGAGATGATTGGGCCACGTTCTGCGTATGCGTGAACACCGATTACCACGACGCGCAATGCTGACTAGTGTAGGGGATAATTGGAAGAAAGTTAAGGGCGGCCAAACCAAAACGTGGCATCAGTGCTTGAAGTCACTAACTTCTGGTCTGAGCCATGTTGGTAGATGCAGACTACCTGGTTGGGGTCCGCGTGACTATCGTAACCAATGGTTGGAGACTCTTGGTGACATGGCTCAGAATCGATCACAATGGCGTCGGTGTATACACTCTCTGTCTTCCTTTAAACTAAGAGATTAAAATCACTTCAAATCTTTCTTTCTAGGAACTAATTCTTTTTTCCTGTACTATCTCCTTATACACACTCTTTCTTCTATATATTACCACCACTGAATTAACTACTTCTATGAATCCGGTGTTCATCTTGTTGTGCTAATGCGGTATGGCAACTTGGACCGATGCATATACGTGCCTGGTCCTACGTTGCAGCTGACTGACTGACTGACTGATTTGTTAACGTTAAGCCGTTAGGTTTAGAGAACCACAGATAAATTTATGAAGTGAGTTATGTAAAACTAATATATACTCTTGAAATCTTTTCATTCTTAACAAGATACTACTCATGTATGTGTGCTGTTGTTTCACTGGCAAAAACTAGGTAACCTCTCAAGCTCGTCTCGGAGGTATAACTAAATTTTATCCTTCATTGCATTTACTTTGATAGCTGTAAACGTCTTGCATCTAACTGTTTTCTGAATTCTGACCTTCAGTCTCTTTTGCAGCTTCTGCAGAACATACTCGTAAAAAATATATTTCCTCCTCTCGGTGTGTACTGGTTTCAAAAATAATCTCATTAGCCTCGTATGAGTATGTTTTAAATTGACTAGTTAAAGAAATGGTTATACAAACTAATACCTAGTACGATTGCTCACAGTATACTCCTTTCTGATACAATTATTCCCTGTTATAGATAAACATACATTCCTTTTCTTCCACAGTTATAAATCTATTATCTTTATTTCACTTTTTCTTAATCACTTCTTTAGTTTATCGCTCTTGTTCCAACCGGACCCCTACTTAAATACATATTAAGAATAATTTTAAGAACGAAGTACCTTGCTTGTCAAATCTTCGACAGTTCTCCATAGTGATGTATTAAGATTGGTTATACAGTAACTTTTGATGTTATAGTTTTGATTAAATCCAATACAATAACCACATACAAGTTAGTTTACTTTTAATATACATAGTTTAAAGTAGATCCGTCTTTATGAATACCCAACTCATCATGAAATATTATACTTTAGACTGTTTATAAATTAAAAATCATTCATTTAGAAACCAGTTGTAAGTTCTATAAAAGTTCAAATAGCAGTTTGTCTAGGAATTAGCTGATCATTTATGATAATTATTTAAATATATAACATTTCATGTTTAAATCTTTTCAATTTTTCATTGAATACATATTTAAAATAAAAACTTTCTTTAAATGTCTTAAAAGTAAATGTTATAGTATGCGGTTTCGGAGAGAAAAAGAAAAGCAATTTACCAGTACTCAAACTTTTATAAAGTAAATCATATTATTACATTCATTGGTTTCATAAAGATTTATGCATAAATCATTTAAACAACAAAAGTGTTTCTAGGTTGCCAAATAAGCATACTTTTATTGTACATTCCATATTCTATTTTATCTTTACAGCTAAAACAATTTAACTGGGTTGTACCAATGATTGGCTATATCCTTTGAAATCTTAGTTATTCTCATGAAAATAAATGAAACATTTGAAAATTAATAAATAACCGTTTCTATTAGATGATTTAGATGAGTGCAAGGAAATCTTGTGTTTGGAGTATTAAATAAATATCACTTACTGTTCTAAATCTTTACACAATATGTCAAATAGATAGTCTTTTCCTCATCTAAGTATTTATCATAGGATTTCATCTGACAACTTAATGTGATGTGTATTAATATTTGAATTTTGATTGGACTGAAACATTTATTCAATTGATCAACTTTTCTCTTTCTACTGCTACACCTTGCCTTTGGGCTGTGATTTTTTACTATAAAGTTGGATTTTTTATCATTTTAACCTAATTTAAGCAAGTAATTTGCATTCGTCTCAAAATGTCATTGATATTTTCAATGTATTTATGAGTTCACTTTTTATGCATATACAGTAATCATTTCATATATTATTTTCTAATTGATAAATTGCCTATTTCTTTTTCAACTATGGTTACCTGTATATATAATTTCAGTGTTAGCTTTCTTATACAGAGAGTCCTTTGTTCGCTTCTATTACAATCTTTGTCATTTTGTTTATCTCTACTTTTTATATAGCAAAGAGGTCATATTCGTCAAATTGGTTGGTTTCCGGCAGATTTCGTTCGACTTATTACACCACTGACAGTGAATGGATCGTCTAATTCGTCTGGTAAGCGTTATATTTTTATTATTTTTTTGCTTTCTCCTTAGAACTGCTTACCATTTAATCTTAATTCGGTGAATCTGCATTCTCAAGGTGTAATATTATCTTCATTCTACTTACAGTAGCTAAACGAAGGATTATGTGATCATTTCATTTCATAACATCTTTGAACATTACAGTTTAGCGTAGATTCGTCAATTCATTTAAACTTACTGAGTGTCATTTTGAAGATTTTATGACCAAGAGATGTGGAATGTTTTCAGATATTAATCAGAATAGTGTTTCCCTCTTCCTCTATGTGTTCATAATACTATGTCTTGAGGTGGTGCCTATTTAAGTAACCTTTATATGAAAAGTCTGTTTTTCCGATCTAGTAATATCATTCTAAAGATGCTTTTCATCACCATTTTAGTAACTTTCCTAATAATCAATATTTATGTTATACAACTCGATAACTGAGTTTACGTTCTCTTTTTAAGAAATTTTTTATGTGAGGAGTTAGATAACAACCCTTAAAATGTAAGTGAACCGGCCTGAATTTCTAAAATTTAAGAATACGAATTGCGATCGATTCAATCATTTTATGGAAACAATCTAAGTATAAATCAATTTAAAATAGAATTATAGTTTATCAAGAATTAATTGTTTAATGTGAAATGAATAAACGTATTTGTGCATACTGATAGACATATGCATTCAATAAATCCAACAATTATCTCATTAACAAAACTGCTTATTAAATTTAATTACACGTATTTTCGAAAAATAATCAGCTCATTCAATATAGAATTATGTAAGTCTGAAGGATTTTGATTATAAATGTTTTCGAAGTATTGGTCGCGTATCTTGGATCGACGGAGTTAATTTATAGAAAGCTCGGAGCAGTCAAATTGAAGTGATGACATTAGTTGATGAAGTCCATGACTGTTAAACTGAACTGTGTAGATTAATGGAGATTACCTGGTTAGGTTCCGCTCTATAACTGCGATGAGTGGTTCGACAGGTTCGGTAACTACTCAAAAACGTTCACAGTCGGGCAGATTAATCATGATTCCCGTTTTTGCTTCGTATATGTCTTTACACTCGTTCTTTTAGGACCATTTTCTTAAATCTCCATTCTTCCTTAATATCATTGCCGGTATATTATTTCCATTCTTCTACAACTCTTTTTTATTTAAATTCGTTTTGTCGTTGTAATGTAGTTTGTCAACTGCTGTTTGTGATTCTCTCTTTAATGATCTATCGCCTGTAATTATTATTTTGTTTTCAAATTATCTCCGCAAAGATCAAAAACTTCTATCCAAAATAATAAGTACCACTAATAATCAAATTGAAAATACTCCAACTAGTTTAAAGGCATTAGCATCAAAAGCGATTACTACATCAAATTCTGTTACTGATAATTCTGTACAAAGTCAACAAGCACAATCAAATCGTGTGGAAATGATGCAAACTATTTTTAGTTATAAAGCTGTTCATGCAGATGAGTTAACATTTGACGAAGGTGCTATTATCACAGTACTAGGTCGAGATGAACCGGAATGGTGGCGTGGTCGACTTCAAAATTCTGGAGCAGAAGGACTTTTCCCTGTTAATTATGTACGTCCGTACAATCCTCCCTCACAAACTGAAAAATCTACGAATTCCGTGAGTCAACGTCCTGTTGTTCCTGCACAAAGTAAGCTAATATTTTTTTATAAAACATGTTTCATATAGATATGTTTCACAATACACTTGCTTTCCATTTCGTTTGTTCGTTTTTTTTCGTTGTCCCGTTAAACAACTATGCTGCTTAAACTTAGTGTGAAAATTATATTCTATTTCTAACTACTGATATCCTTAATTTGAGCACTGTATTCTTTATTCTTTCGTAACATCTATTATTCAACATTTAGGTCATACGTTAGAATTCTAACCATCTGACATATTCGATCAACTCATCAGCTATCATATATGCTGAATGCAGCCAATGGATTTCATTTTTATTGATCGACATTTAAAATCTGTGATCTCCAGTGATTTAAATGTTAATTTAGCAAGTCTTATGTGTTCTTATGCTATTGTTTTAGGTCTTAATATGGAAGACTTTAATCCAAACATTTACTATTTATATGTCAAATGTTTTCCGTTTTCGCTGTTGTAAATTTAAGTTTCTTTAAGTATTTTCTAGATGATTTAAAGCATTTTTTTCTCATTGACGTCTAGTTACACATACTACTAATCATTGACAACCACTAACCTTTCAAATTATTTAATATAAATGGTTAGAATTATCGAGTAGGTAAGCAAAAATGCATTGTCGTTACTTGTTGCTAAGATGTAAAATTTCCGAGTGGTTGATTTTAAAGTTAAATTTAACCATTCTTTGTTAGTGTGAAAACTCACTCCGATGAATGCTTAAGTGTCTTGAGGAAACGTCGGTATAACATTCTTCACCTGAATAATATTCCTTCTCGATAATATATCTGTATCAGAAACCTTCTAGTTAAATTACTTAATTTTGAAATCTTTCAGGTGAGTTTTCAGATCTAATTATACTGATACACCTGTTTTATGTTTAATATCTATCGACGACTGTCTAAAAGCACTTACTTAAACTTCACTATTGTTCACTTGATATTGTTTTTTTTAATATTTATTTGAATCTTCTCATTGATGTTTAGGACTGAAATTGTTCAGTCTCTTATTGGCATATGTGCATACTGTGCGTATGCCTCGATATTGCCTTAATTTACAAGCATTATAAGCAAAGGTGGATAGTGGCTAGCAGTGGAATCCAGGACGGGCGTTTCGTCTTATTTGGGACTCGTCAGCTGGATGTACCTGCATCTCAGAGTTGATGTTCACTCCGGAACTCGAACCCAGTACCGTCCGCTTCAAACGCCATCGCGTTATCCACTTAGCTACTGAGTCCTGATAGCCACTTGCTTGTGCAATGGGGTGAAGTTTTAATCACTTGATATTGTTTTTTTTATATTTATTTGAATCTTCCCATTGATGTTTAGGACTGAAATTGTTCAGTCTCTTATTGGCATGTGTGCATACTGTGCATATGCCTCGATATTGCCTTAATTTACAAGCATTATAAGTGGATAACGCGATGGCGTTTGAAGCGGACGGTACTGGGTTTGAGTTCCGGAGTGAACATCAACTATGAGATGCAAGTACATCCAGCTGACGAGTCCCAAATAAGACGAAACGCGCGTCCTGGATTCCACTGCTAGCCACTATCCACTTTTGTTCACTATTGTTGTTAAGACTATAATGATTCCCAGCGAACTAAAATCTGTTTTCTTTAAACTTGTAGTTATTCACATTTCCGCAGCATCAATTGGCACTTCATCATTTACAGTAATCAATCACGTTTTTCTTTGTGACTTTGTACATGTGCGATATGTTGAAATTCATATCATCATACTCAAACTATGTATTATAATTATTAGGTATAAATGATTCATTGTAAGAATCGAAGTAAGTCAATCAATATTGAAAACTAATTATCTTCACAAAGTTGAAACAATCATAAACAGTGATGTAACTGAAGCACCCCTAATCAATTCTCACTATCAAGTCTACCGAGAAAATTTACTAACTCACAAAATATTTCCCCTATCCACTAAATACACTATAAAATGCGTAATCCTGACTTATTACTAATTTTGTTCTAGTTTAAAGATCACAAAATACTTCAGTAAACTTCTAAGTTATAAATAATAGTGTTTTAACTATGCACCATTATTTATTTATTTATTTATTTGAACACATAAATATTGGTACAGAGGGCACCAAATATATATACGCCACACAAATTTTCATTTGTGTGTGGGCTGTTATACTGTCCGGGTGCCCAGACCGAAGCAGGTGGTTTTCCTAGGGGAACACACCCCGAGCTTTTGACCTAAAAGTCTGACCCACAAGGCAGTAGAGCATCGTATGGAGATGCAGTCCCATGGTAGCCGGTGACCAACGATTGATTCATACGCCATTTGTTCCCTCAGGATACTGGAGCCCATGTGCACGATTGGTTTGGGATCCGGTTAAAGCGCCAGACATGCGGTTTTCGTCCTCTCATTTTCGTAAACAACACCCATGGCACGAGAAGGCAGTGAGTAGGACTTCCCTGGCAGAGGCTATATACGCGTGGCCATGTGAGAGCATTTCGAGAGGGAGGGTGTGCCCACCCCACTCTCGGCCATACCAGGGCATTTGGGGGCATGCACCACCGTTAATCACCGTACGATAAATAAAGTCATTTTATCACTCCATGACTGCAAATATGTTTGTTCTAGAGAATATTTGTTGTAACATCTCCAATTTTCACTATTCTTTGTTATATTCATCTTTTTTTCTGAGAAAAAAACGGTTTTCTAGCATCTATGTGTTTCTCAATATGAATTAAATCATGAATAGGCTCTAGTTCATTGGCTAGTTTTATTTGTTTAAGGCTAACAATATCATTTTTATGTGACCATATTATTGATTGCATATTCGTCTCGTCAGTTTACCTCCGTCTTTATGTGAAATTTGATTGTTTTTCTTGTTTGTGTAATACATTGTATGTGTTTTTCAAATCGATACATTTGATTGTTTGAGGTTAACTTAATTCAATGATTCAGTTATTCTTATTATTTGACAATATCATATTGACATTTCATTAATTAAATGTTTATGTCACACAAATAGACTTAATCGAAAACAAAACCAATCTTTGGTAGGCATTATAATACAGTAGTGTCATGCTTGAATATAAGCATTGAATCTTAACCTTCCACTCGGTCTCTCTCAGTCAACGTTTCTGCTAGATTGACATGGTGGTTAGGTTTACCTATCATAAAGAACCAATTGAGAATTACTGGTAGGAACTATCGTTCCTCAAGGTCTTACCATGCCAGGCAGGTCAGTTAAAGACCGGTAAGCAAACCCAAAGTGTGAGGGCGAAGTCGTACTGCCGACTGTACTGAGATGTGACGGCAGTAAGGTGTTTTCCTCAGACAATCAGCATAACAGCGATACTGCCTTCCCACACGGAGGGGAGGGGTTAGGAAAGGTCGACCCTAAAAATCCACACCTCGCCTTATATTACGGATATCCGTCTCCGGCCGTAAGGTCTCAACAAGTACGGAGCTAACACAAAAACTACTCATAAAAAGGTCGTATGTGACCGACCTCAAGAGCTGTCCCTTGGGTACTGCGGTCACACTCTCAGGTCACTAAGACCCTCTCTAATCCAATTTCCTTTTCAGGTACCTCCAGAAGAACCCTTCCACGGTGTGGGCAACCGGGAAGTGATAACCGCCCTCATACCTCTAACAGTACTCAAGACCACTGTATTCATAACCAACCTCCCTCTTCAATTCCTATTATTCCTCTTACATCGACTTTCAAATCTAAACTTCCTCATCAAGTGTCACCACAGCCAACGATTCTAGTGCGCAAAACACTGTCCCAGGTCTACTGAAACCTCGCTCCAAACTACACATTGGAGCCTTCAACGTACGCACACTATGTCAAATCGGTCAGCAAGCTTCCTTGGCTAAAACCTTAGAATCTCGTACCATTGATGTATGCTGTGTCTCCGAAACACGCATACAGGATCCTAGTGTGGTCATTCACTTGACCTCACCTCGGCAAAACGGAGTGCCGACGAGATACACCCTCCGTGTATCTGGCGACCCGATGGCTAGTTCTCGTGAACTTGCAGGTGTAGGCATAGCACTAAGCATGAGGGCGGAACAAGCGCTATTAGAGTGGATTCCCGTCAACAGTCGTCTATGCGCTGTTCAGCTAAACTTTAATGCCCAGGTAGGTAGCTTAAACGAAACAGAAAGACATTTAGGTGGGTATTTTAGTATTCCGGCACAGAGAACAGATAATGGTGATCGTCTGCTGCAACTATGCTCAGACAATCGTTTATTTTTAGCAAACACAAATTTTAATCATAATGAGATACATCGTCTAACATGGCAACCCTCTGCACCAAATCAACGATGCACTCAAATAGACCATATTGCCATCAGTCATCGTTGGAGAGGATCGATAGAAGATTGTCGCTCATTCTGAAGTACCTGTTTGGACTCCGACCATGCCCTAATACGAGTACGCATCTGCTTGCGCCTCTTTGGACGCAGAAAAGCCCTATGAGGAAGGCCTATTAGAATTGAATTGAGTGATGAGAAAGCCGAAAGTAGATTCCAGGAACAACTGAGGTCACACTTAGGTAGTTCTGAAAACGAGGCTGCCCCCGATGTTGCTTGGAAAGACATACAATCAGCTTGGAAACAGCGGTGACGTCTATTAGTGATTTAAACCACAGGGTTACAAAGAACCAATGGATTTTTTCAAGGTCTATTGCACTGATGGATTCTCGTAAACTCATCCCATCAGGCTGTGAACACGATGATGAGCGAAAGCAAATCAGATCTAGATTAAGCAAAAGTCTAAAGAATGATCGTGAGCAGTGGTGGGCAACGAAATCAAAAGAGATGGAAAAGGCGGCGGCTATAGGTAACTCCAGACAACTCTTCAGACTCATAAAAGAAACTGGAATTAATAAGTCAAGTGTAAGTCAGACTATTTCGGAAAAAAACGACACTCTCATCTGCTCCCATTCCTGACGTTCAAAACGATGGGCGGAACATTTTAAAGAACAGTTCAACTGGCCTTCAGCTACTCTACAAC